CATACGAAATAACCACATGTTATTTGCAACACAGAGTTCAGCAAAAAACAAAACAAAACCTGGGTAAGTTGTATTTCAAAATGCATTCCCATCTTTTTTTTTTTCAGAATTGCCCTTTTATGTGGCAGTGCATCCTTTGAATGAGGCTGACACAACAAAACCATCCTGATTAAATGTAACAACTAGAAACAAAATCAAAAAGTCAATAGGGCTGTGCTACCTTGTTATCTCTCTCCTTCCTTTTAATGCAGCGTCATGTGCTGTTACGCAGCCTAACAGACAGCATCATTCAACAAGCACTGGGGAAACAAGGGCTGGGATTTCAGCAAAGCACAGCTGGGTCTGGAGGAAAAGTGCTACTGTGAGCAGCAGCGCTCTCTGCTTATCTGGAGCAAGGATGGAGCCCAGGAAACCCATTCCTCCCCTGGGCTTCACAGGAAGAAATAGCTGCAGCACACAGACAAGAAGAGAACATCAGGAAAACCTGAACAGTGGGGATTGTTTCATAACATTGACCATTTCGTGGCAACAGAGCTGGGGTAATGCAGGTGGAGGGTGGAAATCAGCCAGTCCTTGTTTACATGAGGAAATTAATTAAATTATCCAGATAAGAATCACATGGACCTTTGGGGTCAGTTGTTTCTTCCCCCTTCCCTTCCCCCCCTTTTTCTTTATTTTTTTTAATCCACAGCTTAATCTTGAGAGCAGAACAGCACAGTAAGTTTTACATTCAGTTGAAATTAAACATTCATATAAATACATAGGCTACATAACCATATGCTTATATAATATACATATTATTTTTATCTCCATTCCTTTCTCAATAGAGGTTTTCCCCTCTCGTTTCTCTATAAGCATTTCTGCTAGGCTTTTCCAAATAAAATTGGTTTAGGAGAGACCTCCCACACATGGAGAATTTTGATGTCTGGCAAATAAAAAAAATAATGAAGTGCTTTTTCTTAGACAACAAGCTCAGCAGCTGTTACCAGAGCAGACGTAGCAGATCTGCATCAGTTATTTGTTGTGAGCATAGAGAGCTTTTTCTGCACCACCAGTTCTCTCTCATCTCTAGTGCAGCAGAACCTCACTGACTGCAATTAAAAAACTAAAACCAAAACCACACGCTTTCTGCCTGCTTGCTCCCTAGGCCTAAAATTACCAGAAATCAACTTTATCATGCATCCAAGGTCAGGAATAAAGAGCAAACCGCTGGCAGGAAATACCTGGAGAGGTGCTGGGGCACTGCTGCGTATCACAGAGCCATTTGGCAGTATCAGAGGTGGCACAGCATCAGCATATTCCCAGAGCACCAGCACAAAGTAATTAGGAACAGAGAGGCCCATGGAAAAATAAATAAGAATAGCTTCAGAGTCCCAGAGGCAGGAAATGAACGCATGAAGGGAGCGATCCGATTACACCAAATATAGGCAAAACAGGGATAAAGTGTTGTTTATTTTAGAGACAAAATAAAAGGAAGAAACCTCATAGGGTCGATGGGGCTGAAAGACTCCCTGTGCTGGCTGTGGTATGCTGCTGCACCAAGCCTCCTCCTTACCAATATCCTCACCAGTACCAATTGTCATTACTCAGATTCCCAGCGCAGGCTCCCCACTAAGGGCAATGACCCTGCAGGCCTTTGGGATGCTCTGAGCTGCTGGTGCCCGAGCCAGGAACCAGCTCACACAGGAGGAAAAGCAGCACGGAGCAGTGTATGCCCTGAGAGCAGCTGGCTGAAATCCTTCCCTTTGACACAGAATTGTGAGAGCACTCCTCCAGCACACAGCCCCACTGCCAGCACGGATAAGGATGGCTCTGAAGTCCCTGTTCCCAGAGCTGTAACATTTTCCTGTAAAAACGCATTCATCCAGCCTCCTTTCTGCTCACATAGAAAATATTTACGCTGCCAGGAGATAAGGAGCTCCGAGTTCAGGATGGTTTTTGCTGACAGCATAGGCTGGGAGCTGCAGAGCTTCCAGACTTTTCCCAAAACCTCAACACTTTGGGGCTCTTTCCCCAAACCTGCTCCAGACTGGCCCAAACCAAGGGCATTTTAAAACAAAGGTGACAGTCTGGGGAAATTACACGATCCTGAGGACTGAACGTTTGAGCAAGGGATGTAGGAGAACAGCTGTGTGGAACCTGACACGGGTCCTTGACCCAGGAACACCTCGGGAGCAGCAGGGACAGGAGCAGCCAGGGCTGCTGTCTGTGTGTCACAGCTCTCTGTGGATTTCTCCCCTACCATATGTGTGATCCAATTATTTCTCCAAACACCACTTACTGTCAGCCTTGCAATTCTTTGAATCAGTCGTATATCTGCAAAGCTAGCAGGAGATGGAGCCAAACCAACCACTGTGTGCTTTGGGGAGCACAGGGAAGCTGAAAGCAATATTTCAGCAATGATGGCATAAAGGCACCAGGCACAGCTGCTTGCCCAGGTTTGCAGCACCCCTGTGACTGTGCCATATCCTCTGATTTTACATTTTCCTGGGCATTTTTCATAATAAGCTCTAACGATAAAGGCGATGGTAGAAGCACACACATCCATCTGTACTTTCATTTTCCTCTGCTCCTACGTTGAAGGAATTGCATTGACTTCAACCCGTTAAGTAATACTGACAATCCCTTGAAGCCCAAATACTGAAGTTAAAATGCTTCAAGACTCAACTACTGAAGAGACTGCACTCAGATTTTACTTCATTACAGATGCAGAGATATGAAACAATGAAAACAACGGGGCAGCGAGAAGCAGAGCTAAGATGCAAGCCAGTGTTCTGACCCCAGGACAGTGTTACACCACTGGTGTGGGAGGAACCACAAACACTTTGTGCCAAGCCCTTAACCAACAGAGTCACATGGAGGAGATCAGACATGGTGAAGTGAGATCCTACGTGATTCAGGACCTGAGCAAGATGTTCACTGAGGGTGAGCCGAGGGGATGCTCTGTCAGCTGAAGTAACTGCCTCCAAATGCTGCCTCTCTGGAAGAGAGAGCACCAGCAACAAGTGAGAGATCTCCAGGATCAGGGGAATTGTCCCTACAGGTAACTTGTTGACTGATTCACCAGTATCAAATAATTCCTTGGAAACTTCCCATCCCTGAGAAGTATTTTCATGAGCCGAGATTTCTTTGAGTTAGGGAAGAAAAACACCAGCCTTTGTTTAACTGTAGAAGTATTTAAAATACCACTATGAGCTTAAGTTGGTGAACTCTGTCTGTATAGCACACTTCCCAAGACCTACCCTGGGAAGGTCCATGTGACATCCATGCTGCTCTGGATACAGCATCTTCCCATCTGTGCTCACACACAGGTTTTGTTGTTAGAACCAGATTACACTAGATCTATTTCTCTACATGGTCACCACTGAAGGAGATGATTATGCGACTCCTGAATCCTAAGGACCAGAATAAGTGAAAGATAGCTGATCACCCAGCAAAACACCTTTCCTCATGACCAGCATAGTGAGGGTGCATGCATTAACACATATAAAAAACACACTGGATTAAAAAGCACTGCCCTGATGAGGGACTATTGACTGCAATTTGTTTTGCAAGCACTTAGCAAAAGAAGAACTAAAAGAAATGGGGAAATGCCCAGCAAAATAACATTAACATTAAAGCACCTCAAAATGTGCCCCTTTAACATATTCAGAGCACAGGCAAATTGCAGACCCTGAATCTGAAGTAAAAAACGGAGTTACAATTTGGTCAGCACGTGAAAAGCACAGCAATGAGTCTGCACTTCTCATCTCTCCTCCCAGCCATGGTGCGTAGTGCTATAATGGGATGGAAAGTATCACAGTAACAGAGGGCTGGCAAAGTCCTGGCTGCAGCAAACATGAACAAGTTCAAACGCAGCAGCCACAGATGCAGAAATGAAGGAAAAAAGGCTTCTTACCTTTGGAAGGGCTCAGGTATGCAGGGATCTCCAGTGAGATTCCCTCACCTCCACTGCCAACCCTTAAATGAGGGCTGGGAAGGGCTGCATCCTGGCTCCACCCCTTCCAGTCACTCTGGTACATTGCATGCACCTGAGCTCCCTGGGTTGGCCCTGCCTTTCCACCAGGTGCTTCATCACTGCTTCATGCTGTGACTCAGCATTTCCACTACAGCATGATATGCAAAACCACAGAGCAAAGATACACACCATCACTGCCAGCAGGAAACTGCCCCCGTGGTCCCCAGACCTGCATGCCTTATAGCTCATCTTACTCTAAAAGCCTACAGAAAGAGAAATATAAAGCAGTCAACACACATCAGATCCTGCCAGAGCTCACAGAGCGTCTCTGACATGGCCTTATCACCTCCATCCTGTTGGTTCGAGCTCTGAGCATGACCTGTTCCACAAGCAGTGGGAAACATATTGCAGCTGAGATGGAAATGGATTGTTCTTCTCTTTTTCAGCTACCCTGAGATATAAATTGGGAATTCATTAGCTGTGAACTGCTGAAAAATAACATTGCTCTTAAAATATTCAGTAGCCTCCTGGCTCCAAAGGACCTTGGTTAACTGTAGACAGAGCAGAGGGGTTTTTCATCATTTAAAGTATCCTGGAAAGACTCGTTAGAAATTACTTACTGTTTCTTTCAGATGTTTTTTATTTCCATTTGCAGACTCTTCTTGCTCATGGAAGAGCTAAGATGCAAAACCATTAACAAGCCCCGAAGAAGGTAAAAGGATTTCTTTCTGCTGGTGTGAGAGGGGCAGGGCGAATGGTGGGGCTCCGGGAGGGGGGTAGGGCTGCAGCAGGGCCCTCCCTGGCTGTCTGTTGGCCTCAGCCTTATGGAGCAGGTCATGGGCCAAGGTTCCAACCACAGCTCTCCACCTCTGCTCTTTGAAGTACAATTTATTTTCAAGGGGTTTGAACAACAAGTTGGAAGAGTAACAGGGTGGCTTCACAGGAATCCAATGGATGAGATGGAATCACTCAGGTTGGAGAAGACCTCTAAGATCCCCAAGCCCAGCCCCAACCCTTACCCCCATGCCCACTGCCCACATCCTCAGTGCCACATCCCCACAGCTCTGGAAAACCCCTGGGGTCGGTGGTTCCACCCCTCCCTGGATAGCCTGTGCCAATGCCTCACTGCTCTGAGAAGAGATTTCCCCTAGGTGAGATTTCCCCAAACTGAACCTTCCTTGATAGAAACAATGCGCCATCAGAACCAGCTACCTGCAGAAAAGTTTCAAATTAATCCAAAATCAATTTGCTTTTTTTTTTTTAAGGGATTTTTTTTTCCAGCTCTTTTCAAAATGAAAGTACTGGAACAAGATTAAAATTCATGTCATAATGAGTGTCTGCATGGTACCTTCATGTCAGTCTTCTGAAAATAGTTAGTAAATCCTTGCTTGGAGAGCTTATCACAAGGAATGGGAGGTCCTAAAGGAAAAGCTGGCAGCAGGAAGCAATCAAACCTGCAGTTTTTTGTTTAACTGATGTTTTCCTGTTAAAAATATCCTTTGAAAGAAGAAAAGCAGTCCTTGCTGCACAGCCATCCCTCCCATCACAGGGCACCAGGGCTGAGCACACCATGGTGTTGCCATCCTCCCAGGGTATACCATGCACATCTGTGCTGAGAGCAAAGTAGCAAAAAGGTGACATATTTTACATGAAAACCACCTCCTTCATATACCTCTGCAGCCAGCAGCCATGGCAGATGCTGCAATATCCCAGTGCAGGCAGCAAAAGAAAAGGCTCAGCAGCAACACTGTCTCTGCAGATGCCACCCACTGGCCCTGCCAAAGGGGAACGATCGATTTCACAGCACTGCTGCCAGATCTGCAGCCACAGCCGGCAGATCAGGAAAAAGACTTACTGCTGGCTCTGTGCAAGCTTGGAAAGATTCATAGTAATTATGTTTTCTTAAGAAAATAGTTGGATTAATCCTTCTGCTGGGGTTGCACTTAGTTTCCAGTCAACTGGTGTTTTGGAATCGTGTCAAAAGCAAATCAGGCTGGCTGGCACCATTTCCCCAAACAATTCATGGCCGTGTTTCTCAAGCACTCCGTTAGGTTTTCAGAAGAAAACAGATCTGATTTCAGACACGCTCAGAGGGTGCTGCAGGGTGCTGGCAAAAATGAGGCTGCTGTCATGGTGCCTCAAAGAAAAGCAGCAGATTTTGCACAGACCTAGACTGCTGGAGATGGATGCCATCCACATGCTTTCCTGGGTTGTAGTTGTATCATTTTTTGCAATGACCCCTTTATAGCTCTAAATTTGAAGTGGTAATTCCAAGGAAGAGAACAGGCGAACCTAAAAATGGATGGAATTTCATGAGAAAGTTCCCGAGCACAGCAGTGCTGCTGATGCCAACACAGCACTGCTCTGAGTCTCTGCAAGAGATTTGCAAGCACCAAAGTTTGCAACAGGCTGAAGGCGAAGCTCACAGCGCAGCTAAGGCAGGGCTAAGGGGGTTGGTGGGAGAGCTAAGGACAGCTCTTAACTATCATCATTGAATTACCTTCTGTGAAAGGCTCTGCAGAATTAGCTTTCATGAAAATCACTCCATCTTCTGTACTACAGTTTAGTGTAAATTAATTTAATCACTGAGAATTAAGCAGAAACTCACACTCATCAGCAATGCAGAAGGCTCTTCTTTATAACAGTTATGCAAATGATGTATGTGCCAACTAATGGGTTGCTGTAGATATACCAACATAAACTCACCGTTAGAAAGCAGTTAACTTGTGCAAACTTCTCTCCTTGGCTTTACAAACACTCACACTTAGCAGGGGAGATGATGGTCCACTGAACCAGTGGTTGTCACCTTCCTGCAGTGGTGGCCCACCCACAAAGCAGGGAGAGCCTGGGGTGGGATGTCAGGATCCAGGCTAGGTCTTCATATATATAATTAGTCATTCTATTGCCTCAAAGAAGAGTACAAGCATGGAAAAATAGTTTCAGAATAAGAATAAATGAAGTTGACTGGGATGGATGAGGCTGGGATGAGGAGGTAACTTTGTCAGGACAACTTCCCCTTAAAGCTCAGCCTTTTTGTCTATCCTCTCAGCCTGTAGTTTCCTTCTTTAATCTCTTCTTTAAGGTATTCTTGAGGCACTCACCCAATATCCAGCTTGGCCATTTTTCTCTGAAACCCCCTTGATGCCTCATGCTCAGCCCACTGTGACTGAAGACTTTCCCCATGCACTCGCAGGCGTAGCCTTTCCCAAAAGTGTGGTAATGATCACAAAGACAGAGAAGAGAAACTCCACAGGGAGACTGGAGAAGGATGGCTCTTTCAGCTGAAAGTCTAGAGGGTTGAAAGAAGTTATTACTGCTGTTTATAAGTGTATAAGGAGTCACAGCAGGAAAAGAAAATAATTAAGCTAAGAAGAACTAATGGGAATGAGCTGGCCATAAATAATTTACAATGGAAATGAGGAGAAGCTTCACACCATTAGAGGAGATCTCCATGAAAACCTCCGTTCTCACCCCCAATTAGACTGAAGTATCATAAGGAATATCACATTTCCAAGTCAAGACCTGAATGCCTTCTCCCCACGACAAAGAGAGCCAGAGGAGGAGACAGCACCTCCCAACCTCAGCCCCATTTATAGTGGCAGGGGATCACCACAGCACCAGGGACTTTTGGTGGGGCAGCCACCTTAGGACAGGAGCCATCTGGAGATTGCTGATGGTTCTGAAGGTTCAAAGATGTCAAAATGCACGCACTTGGGTTGCTTTTTCTAGCACAAGTTTGAGGATCAAAGCCAGTTTGTGCAATGAGTGCACAAGCATTGCCCAACACCAGAGCACCAACACGGGTCATGGGGCAGAAATGGCCAACATCCACAGCTTCTCTTATCTTATGACTTTGTTGTTACTGACATTAAGCATCTTCAGACATTTTGAAGGATGGTCCGAGAGCAAATTACAGGATCAAAGTTAACTCAATGAAATTGAGTTCTTAAACATTATGAAAATAAATGTCTCCTTGAAGCCTTAGTGGCACAGTGCTGTGGCCTTCATCCAAAGCTGGGGTCAGGGCATGGGGAAGACCAGGGTGGTCAGCTGCAGTCTGACTCCAATTTAAATGCCAAAAATGAAAGAGGGTTCTTAATTCCCAACGGTTTTCTGCTATTATCTCATAGCAGAAATAGCAGTGGGAATATCCATAGCAGTGGGAAAGTGGATAGAAGAGAGTATTTAGAGTGGAGGGATGCAGATGGATGGAAACTTGTGCCCAGGGATTTAATATCTTGCAGTAGGAGATGCACAGAAGGTAACTGCCTTTCAACAGTGCCAAAATAAGTCATCAGAAGAGTTCATAGCCATCAGGGATGCAGAAAACACTGCATCTGAACACATCAGGTTCAGATGGAATCAAAGCTAGTTAGAAGAGTTCACATGCCCCAGAGCCAAGCAGGGACATGGAAGCACAGCAGCAGGGCCAGGTGCCCTCACACAAAGGGACAAGCACCACTGCCAGCTTAGCCACTGCATCTTCCATCCAAGGGGACAGGCCTTGCCCTGCTCTTTGCCCCTCTTGCACAAATCAGAGCCATTCCAGAGAAAGCCAACATGCCCAGGAGGGACTCTTCCACCCATGAGATAACACAGACAGAGCCTCTGTTATGTTGAGAAATCTGCTGATGGGAGGGAGGGTCAGGCTGGTGGGAGACACTGCTTGTGACCTTCCCATGTTGCTCATTGTTGGATATGTGCAGGTCAGGGGCTGCGTGGGATTTATCAGGGATGAGGCTTCAAGGACAGCACAGAGAGAAAAGAGCCAAGCACAATCATATCACAGGGCAATTCATTAGCTGCAGAGCTGATAGCCAAGCCTGGGGGTTGCAAGTAGATGCCAGGGATAAATGCCAGGAAACAGAGAGTTTCAATTTGACTTGCACAACTTGAGCAGCTTCTCAGCTCGGACTGTGCACAGAACCCTTAGGTTGTTTCTGACTGCTCTCTATCCATGCCAGCTGCATTGCCCAGGTGTTACAGAGGGCGACTCAAGGCAGGTACATGGGGAGCACCTTGATAGGAGTCAAGGAGTGTCTTAGGTAAATCCTCCTGATCAGCTCTGCACTTGCTACAACTTTTAGTCATAGCTAGATTTTACAATTCTCAACAGTATTGCCAGCTTTCCAGAATAAGGAAAATCTGTGTAACCAAAGGGCAAATATATCTGTATAAACCTAAGGGTGGACACGTTTGTGCAAATTATGCTGGAGAATTGCATAAGAAGAGGATGTCATCTAAGCCAAAAAGAGAAGTAGGAGATGTCTCTGAATGCAAGCATTTATATCATGAAAGCGTGCTTCTAGTCAGATCATTAACTGCAAAAAGCCACTCCAATGAAATCTGATATTCAGAGGTACCTGAGGCCCTCTCGTGCCAGGGTACTCTTTCAGTCCTACATCCATCTCTGCTGCATCAGCCTACATGGCAACTGTTTCTTCAATGTGAAAACAAGGCACAGAGCTGATAAATAACAGCTGGAACCTCCAAGCAGAATCAGGCACTCCTTTCCCATTGATAATCATGAATAGCTGTCATCTTGAGAGAGCAGAGCAGTGGAAAAACACTGAAATAAAGCTGTTTCCCCTTCATCCTTTATAAAGTTGGATGTACTTGCATGCCTGCAAGGGTTCAGCCTGAAGGTAACTAGACCAGGAGATACATGTGTGCAGTGGCCATCAACCTCTACAGCCAGGGCATCTTGGAAGACTGCATCTCTGCATAAAAATATTACTGCCATCTCCCAGTCTGCAGCTTAATGCAATAACTTCTGTGAGCAGAGCACAGGAAGATGCACAGCAGCTAAATGGATTGTGCAGGCCGAAACCCAGACACCCAGGCACCAAAATGAAAAACACAAGCTTCTGTCATGGGCAGCCCCCATGCTTTGCTATGACCACCACCCAGAGTTTGGATTTGCACTGGTGCTATCAAAACACTGCTGATGGGTTTTGCTTCTGCCTCCAGGCAGCTTCCTCTGCAGAGTTACAAATGTGTTCCTCCTCGGTCTGAGCTCAAATTGGAAATGCAGAGCACCAGTTGTCTGTACCGAAAAGGAAAAGGCATTCAAGATCTTCTCCACACAAATGGAGCTCACTTTGCCAAAGGGAAATTTTAATATTGGCTGTAGAGAGAATTTCACTGAACTTAGCTTTGCAGAGAGCTTCAAAGCAGTCACGTATGGATCAGACACACAAGGAGGGAGGAAACTCAAAATCTGCCAATACCACAAGAGCAAAGTCTGCTGGAGATGAAGGAGAGGGCAGGAAGAGACCCTGCACTCCTTCCCCACATCCCCTGCGGGGCCCTGACTCGCCTGCAGAGCCATGGATGAGGGCAGCATCAGCTCTCTTCTCTTTATTTTGCCCAATAAAGCTGTGCTCCCCAGGAGCTGCAGACAAGTACATCTCTACCACACTCTGTGCTGGCACTCCACTGGCAGCACTCACCAACTGCTGGTTTTTCCACAGTCCCTTTGCAAGCCTAATTAAAGCTTTCCATCTTTTGGGACAAGCAGTAGAGTCACTAATTAACTACCAGAATTATAGCTAGGAGCCAGTAACTGCTGTGCAGCTACCTCAGTGCTCATTAGAATCACAGGGTGATTTTGGTGGGAAGGAGCAACTGCAGAGCTACAGAGGAGATGGAAAACATAGCCCATCACTACTGCAAACACTGGCAGTCTAGGAGACAAACTTGGTGCCTCCAGGCTGGATGTCACAAGAGGGAACACATTACAAACACATACAACAGAATAGTCAAAGCACAGGGTTGCCCAAAGCACCAAGTACTACCTGCTCTTGGCACCATCTCCAAGTGCAGGAGATGGGACAATTCCATTTATGGTGATGCTTTCATCCCTTAAATGGATCTGGTCCCCAGGACTAGAGAGCGCAGGAACTGATAGTCACACAGTGCTGCCGATGAGACTTCTAGGGGAGAGCTATAGCCAGGCTGGGCTTTAAGCAAACCATATCCCCTACAGGGCCTTCCTGATGAGGGGGAGCACCAGATAACGAGGCAGGTGGTTGGCATGAGATGCATGCTGTGCAACCAGTGGAAATTACTTAGTGAACCATCCTTAACTCATCAACAGAACTACCAAGATACTTTCAAGCAGAAAGGATGGCTGCTGAAAAATTTTGAATTCTCTTTTTTCATTCTAGAAGGCCCTGCATAGCCTTCTCTGGGGATCCAAAGCTTTAGGACAGGCTTTTGAAGTAAAAGCAAACCTTTCTGACACGAGGCTCAGCTGAGCACTGTAAACATGCCCTTCAGCTGTTGCTGCAGCTGAAATATGTTGTTTGTGCTTTGCCCACTAAGTGGAGCTGGGGGTTCTCCCATGTTTCCCTCCCATGTTTCCCTCCCATGCACAATGTGGATTTTCCTTCCTGTACAAAGTGGCAGAGCCATTGGGGCAGTCCTAGCTATGGGGTCACAGCTATGGGGACCACAGTTTGGGTGCCCAGGCCATGTACAGTGGGGAAGTAAAGCGATGTCACTTTCTATGTTTGCCAAAATCACATGAAAGATATCAGTTAGGGGCATTTCCCCTTTCTGAAACAGGGTGTTTCAGAGCACAGTCCACCTGGCCCTTTGTGAGAGGAGCAGAGGGCACAGAAATCAACTGGGATACAACCACAGCTTCACAGAACCCATTGTCTTTTCCAGCAATGGAAAGATAATGAGGAAATTGTTTTTAAACTAATGATTCATAGCTAGCCAGGAAGGAGCTATGTGACGAACATGACTTTAATTTCACCTATTAGTGCAGTACCCAAACATGGTTTGCAGTATTTCTGTGCCCAGCACTCAAACACTCCCAGCTGGTGCCTCTCTATCAGTTTCTTCTGCACAGCTCTCCATCTCAGAAAGGGAATTGGGCAATTACCTGCACGGCCTGGGCAGCAGCTAATAGTCCTCCATGTTGTTTTCCTTCTTGTTGAATGTCCCCTCATAGGAGTCAATCTTGTAGGACAATACTAGCTGCTTATTGGTTGTAATATCGGTTAAAACAAACCAGATCTTGCCTTATATTAAAGGTAACTGTTGCATTCACATTCTGTCAGCACATTGATGGCGTTGGTTGAAATAACCATCCTTTCTCCATAATGGTCTTGATCAACACTCAGGGCTGCAGTGGTGCCTCCAAGGAAAGCTGGGTCCAGGCAAAACCCATCCTCGAGTGTGACAGATACCTGCCATATGCTGTGTGCTTGCATAAACTGAAATGAAAAGCATCCTTCCAGGCCGTTCCTTTTAATCTACAGAAGAGAAAAGGGAAAAAGGTTTCATAGAAAGGAGTGTTTGCTGATATATTGAAACATATTGTCATTATAGCTTTATTGCCAGTTATCACAGGGCTCTTATCAGCACATCCGCTCAGTAAATGAATAAACCCTTCCACAAAGCAGCTCTGAACCACACGCCGAACCGCGGGCAGGGAAGCCTGTGTGTCCCGTGGGCAGCAGCACGGCCACCCCAGGGCTCTGCCCTGCTCAGTGCCACCAACACCCAGAGAAATGATTTCTCAGATCTGCTGTAACACTGCAACAGACAAAGCTGTCCGTGGTTTTGTGACATTCCAGACAAAGAGTCAAGGCTGTATAGGGCTGCAAAACTCCCGAGCTGCCCAGCTCAGCCCAGGCTGGAGCTGCTGTCCCACTGGTCACTTTATGTCTATTGATTGCTCCAAACATAATGCCTCCTATTTATTTCCTTGGTAATGACAACAGATACAAAAGAGCACAATAGCACTGTTTGATAGAGCAAATTCTCAGCTACAAAACACTGTTTTTCAACACAGTCACCACCATTACCTGTACATTTTCACCAGCAGAGGTGACTGCTGCTACCCTTACCACTGCCGAAACACTCCACTCATTGCCCCACCGTGCTCACATCCACTATGTGGTCTCCATCAGTGTTCAGGGAAACATCTCTGCGTATTTTTGGTAAATATCTGCTCCAAACACTTTGTGCAGTTGGAGGGGGCCTACCTAGATAGATCCGTGCCTTACACACACACATACATACAAAGATGCAACACTGGGCTGAGCTCCCACTGTGAGGTCTGAGCTGTGCCAAGTGGCTCAGCCATCCCATCACCGCTTCCCTTGCTGGCAGTGTGCAGGCTGGAGTCACCTCTCCTGGCAGATACAGTTTCCATAGCAACGTCACTTTTACCACATGAGAGGATTCACCCGATTAAAACAGCCGCCTTCAGGTAATTAAAATACATGAAATTTCTTTGTTATTTACATTTCTGCCAGCGAGGAACCACAATACTCGATTCAAACCAGGATGCTGAGGGTCTTTGAGACTGAACAAACAAGAAAGAAAGCTGTCACTGTTTGTCCAGCACAAAGTGGGGACTTGTCCCTGTGCACAAAAACCTCCCAGTGCAGAGCATGCGAGGCAGAGCAGGGCAAGCTGTGCAACCTGGGATTTGCATTCAGGGCCGGTGCCAGAGGGCTGGCGTGAATGGCCTGGTTTATTTTCTAGAGAGGCAGCCTTCAAGAGAAGACATAATGTACTGGGTGAGTAAGGGCTGCAGCCTGGTCAGAGTTGTAGGATCACGGAGGGGAGTGGGGCTGGGAGCACAGGGCACGGGCTGCAGAAGGCTGTGACCTGGCCAGGCGAGCAGGGAGGGAGCTGTGGCTTCTTCTCAGCTAGGTGGTGGCTTTGCCATTTCATCAGCTGCTATCAGACAGGCATCAGTATGTAGGGTGTAAGATGATGGCCTTTAAGTAGCACTGCGGGAGGTTCTGGTTAGATATAAGGGAAAATTTCTTCCTGGGAAGAGTGGTCAGGCATTGGCACAGGCTGCCCAGCGAGTGATAGAGTCACTGCCCCTGGAGGTGCTCAAAGACCATGGGGATGTGGCACTGAGTCATAGTGGACATGGTGGGATGGGTTTGAGTTGCATTTGGAGATCTTAGACACTTTCTCTAACCTTAATAATCCTGTGATCTCAATTCTATGATCTCATTTCTATGATCTCAACGCCACAGCGCTTCTGTCTGGTTTGCAATAGACTGAAGATGCTCTTCTCAAATTAAACATGTTCTTACTTGTCATTCAGAATCCTTGTTTCTAATTAACATCAATTTGAGTGGCTGCTAAGGGAAGTGTTCTTGTTTGGAAATACTGGGAATGTTCACTCCAGTATTGTTCTTAGGTGCTAGCCTTACTGCGCTGCTTCTTTTCTCCTCCACAGTTAGAGACAGAGGGAGAGAGGACTTTATTTGTACTGACTACAAGACAAATTCTTCATCCCTACTTCAAGACACGGTGTCCCAGCAGTAATTATAACATTTACTGTCTGAATTCTGGCAATCCCCAACTCCTCCCATGGGGGATAAAGCAAAGACCCATGAGGGATAAAGCAAAAAAGCATTTAAATGCAGATAAGACAGTCCTTACTCTTTTCTCTGAGCTTCCTAGCAGTCGTCCATGGAGATGAGCAGAGCAGTCCACCCTCTTAGAAGTAAGACTCAACCCATGAAGACCCACTGTAGGGTCACACTGCAAACTTATTCATCAGTCTTTATTACTGGGAGCCTTTCTCTAAAATTCCCAAGGAGATAAGATCTATCAGTTGGCATTAAATACTGTGGGCAGATAGGTATGACGTGGAGCAGTAATTAAAACCTGAAGGCACAGGTCAGACAGGGCTGGCAATGTGCAGCTAGAAGCTTGCCAGTCCCTGGAAGCCCAGCTCAGCCCCTGGAAAAATAAGTTACTGCTGCTCGGGTATTTCTATTGCAAATAGCCAATGAGGTCCATATGTGACATCACTGTGGCCTTGTGGGGTTCTCTGTGTTGTCTTGGCGCATCTTTAAAGAGATGCATTTGTTTTTAGGAAGATGAAATGGAAATAAGTTTTAATGAAAAATGAGGACAGAAGTGATTACACAGAAGGAAAGTAAACCAAGCATGCTATGCCTGGCAGGTATCCCCCACCCTTTGAAAGAGCTGGTTATCTGTTGATGAAAAGAAAACAAAGAACTGGAAGACAAGACAGTAACCATTAAACAAAGCTATAACCTCAGCCAACACCCTTGTCTCATCTAACAAACATGTTGATGTTAGGTTATTTGGAGCAGGTTTAGATGCTACCATGGAGCTTAAATGATGCTGAGACTACAAAATAGGCAGTGGGCTACTCATTTGCTCCTTGCAAGGGCTTTGGATTTGCACCAACTTCTATTCCCCTTAAGTCAGTTTGCCTGTTCCTCACTGTAGCCTGAGCTGTGGGTTAAACCTAGTGCCAAAGCAAATGATGTGGATGGAAGATGTCAGCTCAGACATCCACTTGAACACAGCTTTGAACTCACAAAACATTCCAAATTGAAAAGAAAGGAATAGGATATACTTCGTGTTTGGAGGAGGACGAGGATGCCAGGAAATGTGTGCAACCTACCACAGGATTCTAATCAGATGCTGGTTACACCCTGCAAGCTTCTTCCATAACACATTAACCTACCTAACAGCTCAACCTTGCCAGTCTTTACAATGTTAACCTTATCTGCCTGGAATACTCAGATTAAAACAGCAAACCACTAATTTTCTAGACATTACATTTTAGCATAAAATTGCAAACCCCATTGTGAAAACTACCCGTTCCCTACAATAGCTGATCAGCAGGCACTAATGCTGTTGGCACACGTTCTTCCCAGACTACACCTCATCATCCCGTGCTGAGTTACAGCACATCCACAAAAGCAGGAATTAACAGACCTGTTGCAGGTTGTAAGTATGCTCAGCTGGCAACTTGCTGAGAAGAGTGGAAATGAAACTTACAATTATCTGAGTGTTTGGAAGAGGTCAGCCCTGTAGTTCATGGTCCTCCAGCAGCACATTGGTGGCGGTTGACAGTTGGACTTCAATACAACTTTTCCCAGGTGCTGTTCTCAGCCATGTTCCTCTGTGTCTCTTGGCCAAGGGACAGACATAGGATGGCTTCTCACTAGCACACAATGGGACATGGCTGCCTGTATGTTCCCATCTACTTTGAGGCCCCTTTGTTTGTAGCTCATCCCAAAATCCCATCATCTCACTTGGCCCAGGCAGCTGTCCTGCGCTAACAGGAACTCCCCAAATGCCCACAGAGATATCTTGGATGAAACATGACTCACAGAGTGATTCAGGCAGCCAGCACTAGTGCCTAGTGACTCAGTTTTGATTCATTATTCTGGTCAGACCCTATCTGCTAGAAGTTAATGTGAAGGTCATTTTGAATGAAATGCAGCATGCGTCGTTCTTGTGATGCTTACCTTCTCTGACGCTTCCCTACAACTCTGCTGCTTCTCTGAAAATGCAATGACGACACACAGCTTCTCTGAAGCAAAGATGGACTCATTGATCCATACAGAATAAAACAGAGTGGGTTCTTACACATTGCCTTAGCAGCTCTCTAAACACCACACACAGCTGGACGTATTGGAAGTATCTTGAAATCTCTTTTTTTTCTTTTTAAACTCAATTTGAACTAAATCAGTCAATGCCCCAACTCTGGAAGAAGCTCCTATCTGTACGCAGTTCAGGTGGGTTTTTGCTGAGACACAGCTAATTTTATGCTTCATCAGAAAGACCACATTTCACTCCCAATTATAATTTTAATCCTGTTCCTAATTTGCATACATTAACGCTCAAAAGTGATTAGAGTTGCACAACACGAAATAATCAAGTTTAAGCACTGTACATAATGCTCAGCAGTTTCTGCCCAAGGCAGAACATACCATCTACAAGCTTGTTAGCAGGGTTGCCCTTTTGCCACTATCTGTGGCTTTTCTGTTGGCAAAAGTATTTCCTTTATTCCCGTGGTATTTGCCCAGTGTATCCTCTGGAAGACCACAAGGAAGAGGACAATAACAAAGGCTGCCTCTGTAGCCCTTCATACACAGCTCAGAATCTGTAGGAGGTTTGCAGGGCACGTTTTTTGCTCTGCTTTTTGACTAATTTACTTTGGATCGAATCCAGAAGTTTTCACTGAGGCAGAGATTCGCTGCCATTAAATGATCAGATCTTGAAAGAATCCCCAGTTCCCAGTAAGCAGACTGTCAATTCAATTAGGCTGCCTCTCTGCTAATAAATTAAATATGCTTGGGACTGTCCTTCAGATAGCGGCCAGCTGGCATCGGATGACCCATGACCATAACCATTAGCTCTCAACCTGTAAAACAAAGGCTGTGTGCACATTGCCCACAGGCAGGGTGTCTGACCCCAGTGGATGTACCAAGGGTACAGGCTAAAAGCGTTTCATGGGTGGCTCCCAGAACAGAAGCAGCACTGGGGACCCATCTCCTTCTTGGGCACTGTGATTCCAGGCTCCGGAGTTTGTAGGTAGAACCCAGCTCCCACCTGGGCAACATGTTTGTGGCTGTGCACAGCCCTTAATCAGGGAAACATTGCAGCCAGATGTGAAAAGTGAGCCAAGGCTTCTAAGTTCACCATCATTTTACAATCTTTGAGAAGTCTGAATTTGCAAAATTTCCCACTTATGATTCTTTCTTGATGCGTTACTCTTGTAAGATCCACCACGTTACTGCATTACCTGTGAGAGATTAAGCAAAGAAAGAGGGAGAAGAAGCTCTGACAGAGTAGGACAGAGGGACAGTGACCATTGATGTGAAATGCATGCAGCTGGCTCGATGCACTCAGTATTGAGCTGATTGCAGTGAGGGATCTTGGGGCTTTGCTGCATCTGAGCTGCAGAGGAGCTCTGCTTTTTCCTCAGCTCTTGGCAAAAAGTGACCAATGCTGTATCAAATTCCTGTGTTCTTCAATAATGCAGTGGGGATTTGTACTTCAGCCTAGTACAGGGAGAACCTGTACTGAAGGGATGAGAAGGACAGCCAGAGCCAGCAGATCTGTTCCCCATCCCATACGCTCACACCGCCCTCAGACTAAGGAAATTCATTTAAAACCCTGTTGTCTTGCTCCTCCCTTTGTAAGGTGGGACAGGTACATTTATGTACCTATATCAGCATTCAGAAGATGAACACAACATGAGGTGTTTGGCTGTGACAGCCAAAGGAGCAACAACAGCAGCAGCCAGAGCTGTGGCACTGTGTGCCACTGTGGCACTGTGGCACTGTGTGCCACTCTCCTCCCAGCAGCAATATACCCCTGACTGGTCCCATTTTATTAATTTAATTATATAAACATGCTCCTTGCCACTAACTATTCCTTGTTCTGCCAAATAACTGAGCTTTTTTTTGCCAGCTCCTTGCTTTTTCTGACCTCTTTTCTCCTTTCAGGGAGAGGAATCCATGGTGGATAAAAGCACAGCAGATTTACCAGATAATCAAAATCATCACAGGATACAGTGTTATGTGATGTAGACTTTGCTTTGAAAGCATCAAAGATATGCATGCTTATAGCATTAGTTTAAAAAATATACATATCCCACAGTGGACTGGGCTTTTATTGTACAATGTGAGCCAACCCCTGCTCACGGTGGGTGCTGGGCTGACAGCAAGGGGCTCTAACCTGGCAGCAGTGATACAGGTTTTCTCCTGCAGCCACCAATGGGTCACAGCTCTGCTCTAGGAAGATCCCTGTTATGCAGAAAAGAATAGTGAGAGTTGTCGGCCCTCTGTCAAGCTCCTGGATGGCAACAGAAGTGCAAGTTGGATCTATTTCTTCAGGTGGATTTGATGATGGCAGCATCTGCCTGCAGATCACTTCCACGAGCACATTTCATGCAGACCACAAAAGGGAGCATTCGCTTACAAAGCAATTGTTTCAAAGCCAGATCTGGAGTTTTTAATTTATTGAGTATTTGTTCCCGTTGACTGAAACTTCAGCAGTCTTCCTCTGCCAGAGCTAATATTTTAAACTGTGTACTTTAACATCATTTGCATAACTTTTCCAAAACATGTTACTGCTGCCCGTGTCCTCCTGTTTTACATCCTGCCTAATCCCAAGGTCAAGGAACTCAATAGGAGCGCCTTGATTGTTCTGGGCTTTGGACAAGAATTTACAGAGCCAGCACAAGAGATCTGCCAGCAATACAACGCATTGGCCGTGGGCTCTCGCTGGTCTCCTGCATAGACTGGACACTTGACAGCAGGACTGCTCTTTTGTTTGTTTTTACTCGCTCCGTGCCATGAGTTTTAAACTTTTAATCTTGCTCAAAAAGCCAACAACTATGCTTACAGTGTTTTCCTGTGAAGTTTTTAATGGCTGGTGCAGAGCCTTTGGTCAAAACTCGAGTAACAGCTAAAATGTTTTCTGTTTCCAAATCTACCTTTTCCATAGGAATAAAGATGTTATGGAGAAGGTATCTACTAGCATAGCAGCCTTTCTGCTCAAAAAGCACCAGGAAATGACTTTCAGCACTGTCAGCATGAAAGAGGTGGCTTTTGGTGAGTGCCTACTGCTTGTTCAACCCAATAGTGTATGTTTATCAGGAGGCCAAAATGGCTTATTTTGCTTACAGACTCATTAAGTGTACAGCATCTGTATTCAGCAGTTCTGCTCCATCCTTGTACTTGTTACATGCCCACATCTCTTGGGATTTAGTTCAGCATGAGCACAAGACTGAGAACATTCCCCATCAGGAGCCAAAGTTCTCCTATTGGACAACCACCTGGTGAGTAGTCTGCTTCTATGTTAGCATAAAACAACTGGTTCTCATTGCTGATTTATGGCAGTGCATTCAAGCCTTCTGAGTCTTCATCCATCTCCTGTACAGTGAGTTGAGTCCAAAGGAATACGAAACAATTGGGAGATATCTTTTGTTTGATAGAATCTCTGTAGAAGCAGGGTAGAAAAATGTCTCCAGGAGACAACTATGGACACTTCTTTGCTTGATATCTAGGACAAGAAAAATAAGTATCATCTCCTACATAAGTGCTGATCAGGGCAATTCCTGTTTCACTGGTTTTCAGTCACTGAAAAATGTCACTTCAGAACTCCTGGGCTACATGCTGGTGTGCAGGAGGTTTGTGGAAACACCCCGAGCCCCTGCTGCAGAAAGCTGACGAAGGCTGTGTTAACAGAGAACCATTTTCCCAAACCTTCTAATTAAGAACGAACTTCTTTCTTAAAATTCTCTCAATCAGAGCTGACTTGACGATATTCTGTACCTCTCTGATCAGTTGCCCCACATCCACAGTGCACAGCCAGTGCCAGGGGTAGGATCGCTGTAGGAAGCCGTGGACCTTCAGCACACACCTTCAGATCCTGCCAGCTGAGCCTTCTGTGACTCATCCTCCTCCAAACTGCACAAAGAGCCCTGGAACTGCATGGCTGAGTCATACCTGCTCTGGGGGTGGCTCTCATGGCCCCTGCCTGCACTAGGTGGAGGCAAGGAACCTCGAGCTCTAAAAATAATGAGAGGAGGGAGGAAAGGAGAACAAGAGCCCCTCGCAGCCTCCTCGTGTAATAGCATGTTGTGTTTCTGCAGGGCCAGGGGCAAGTGGAGGTGGGATGCATGGGATGGACGAGGTGACGAGGGCTGCAATTACAGGGGATTAAAATGCACAGGCCTTCTGTTATATTTTAACAGGAAATTACAGAGTCAGTGGGAAGCAAAGTCAGAGAAGGGCAACAATAAAGCAGAAGAAACACAAATCCATCTCTGGTCAATGTCTGTGCATATCCTGTGATGGTTTTGGCATTGTGGCACCCACTGACGGATACCCAGCACTCCTCCCCACTGAAGAAGATACAACTAGAAATGCCCTTAGGGATGGGGGCACAGCCCTGACGTTCTGTACCAGACTTAGGCACACACCTCCTCCCCCACCATGGGCATCCCCACATGCAGGTGATGGCAAAGTCCATGGCCTCTGCTGCCCTTCTCACCCATCCCTTGCTGCCTGCCTTTGGACCATCACTCACCATAAGGAAGAACATCTCTAACTGCACTGTGTGAAAGCACACTTCTGTTTAAGCACCCATTTGTTGTCCTCATACAGAGCTGGGTAGCTATGCCAGTTGGTGTCACTCCACTTCTGCCTTTTTCCAAATGTCCTCCTTGCAAGCATGCAATCTGCTGCCAGCAGGAAACAATGTCTTGTAAATCATATGAAGCCCTGAAAAAAATGGAGAGTTGGTTTAGATAAGAGCTACAAATGGGGACTTGGGAGAGTGGGCTGGGGCGGCAAGTTGGTATCTTCAAGTTGAATGCCTGTGTGTCCAAGCAGGACTGAGCAATTCATCAGAAACCTGGGTTTGCTCAGATGCTGCTTTCATGTTCAATTTATTCTGAGAAATTTAGTTTCATTTGGGGAGTTGCAAATGAATTGCTACTTGCTCTGCGTCAACACAGCACTGGAGTTTCTTGCTTACAGAATAAAAAGGAGAACACACGTGTTGTCAAGCCAACGGCAGTGACCTGGTACCAGTCTGTGCTCAGCACCAGCTGTGCTGCAGCGTAATGCACCTCAGAGCCATGCCTGCAGGAAAGGGGACATTCCCTGAAAAACAGAACCACATTCTGCAGGAAATGGAGAGATGGGACACCCAGCATCCTCCCCTAAGGGTCTGTTCTGGTGCAGGCTGGGATAGGCACTGCACTGTGTGCCATCCAGCAGCAAAATTTCGTTATGCATCGCTCTCCCTACTCCTTAACTGTGTAATAAAAACACTCCAAGAAATCCAGTAGTGCTAAAATTAGCAGCCCAGCCTGCTTTCAGATCCTGAACTCCAAATAAACACATATCAGCACAATAAACTCAGTAATGGACAACTCATTTTAATTTCTCCCTACTTCACAGGTCTGCTCCGAAAACAGCATTGCTTTTAACCCCTCCAGCTGGCACTGCACCACTTTTCCCTGTGTGATCCCATTCTCCCAGCATGTGCCATTCCTCAGTGTCCTCAAGCTGGCTGGGCAGTAGTGTCCTTGTCCCCAGGGAGGGCTCAGGGACATTCATTCACCCTCCTCACCTTCCCCTCCAGCAGCCAGAGGCTCTGCAGGTCTTTGAGATACAGCTCAAAGATGACATTTGCTGCGTGCCACATCAAGAGATGAACGTGGATGTGGAAATAAGTATGAGGGCAACCAGATGTGGTGAATCCAGGATGTCAGTGCAAGCTCTGGCACAGGGCACTGAGTCACAGAATCATAGAACCACAGAATCGTTAAGGTTGGAAAAGTCCACTAAGATCACTTAGTCCAACCGTCAGTACACATGAGGACCTTTGCAGATGTCCAACCCACGGGTGAGGAAGAGGTGGAGGAGAGAACCAGCCAGGAGGAAAGGGGTTGAACCACCTTCTTCAGGGGCCTTGTTTACCTTTGTTCTTGTAAACCAAAAAGGTAAACACACGTCAGAAATTGCCTATTACAAGAATATGTTTGGACAGAAGCGATGCTGCTTTATGTGATAATGTTTTATGTGGACAGTGAGGACATTGTCCTCCCTTCCTCCCAGAATGATGAATCCAGCTTGTCTAATTGAGGCGTTCATTTCTCTCTTACTGACTGGACACATTAAGAAATTACTCAATCACTACTCCTGGTTTTTAATTGAAATGTACTTTTGCTGTCCTCAAAAGCAGGGCACAGCAAAACGCTTCCTTCTCCCACACTGAGTACAGAGGAGACAGCACCAGCCCATCTTTAACACTCACTTCCAGCTCTGTTCAGCACTGGTTTCAGGAGACCAAAAACATCAGCTCACATTAGGTAAACCTCTTCATAAAAGCCATTAACTCCTCTGCCGAAAAGCCCAGTGGATTTTTCCAGGCAATGTAATTTCTAAAAGACAGTGTTTAGAAGTCTGCAAAGGGCCAGAAAAATAGCAATAAAAAGAGATACAGAGTGGGTCAATGTGAAGAGCATTTCATTTGTACACTGCCCAGATGATCTCGAGGGCTGCGCCATGCCTATAATTGGGTGACCTCAAAAAGCATTCCCAAAAATGTGCATTTTTAGCATTAAACCTAACTGAATTAGAAGCAGTGCCATTATCTGCTTTGAACCCTTGATTAACCTTTCTTTCTCTCAACTTCCCAATCCTCTCCCTATGCTGTAAGGGCAGAAGCTTTTTGCATACTAGCTGTCTCATCACTGCTGAGAACATCCAGCCCTAATATCCTCCCCCAGCCCTGCAGAAGCTTGCTTGAAACCTATTTACTGCCACGATGTGAATATTAATGACTTGCCTTATTTCCCTCTACAAACAGAAAGAGGGCTATATTAAGTTACTAGAAAATACACAAACTAACCTAAAATCCAATCTTGATTTTGCAGAGAAGCCATCTGGTTCATCTTCCCTCTCGTGTGACTTTTGGAGCCTGTTTGGGGTTCTCTCATTGCAAGCTCACAGCCGTGCAGCAAAGGAGAACTGCTAGTGGACTCAGTAATTCACACAGCTTTTCCCACTCTGCCTGATGGTGCAGGGAATGCCAGCACCCAGGTGTGCAGATGAGAGAGGTGCAGGTGTTGGTGAGCTCTCTCCCCCACAGCCCCACGGTCAAGAGAAGCGGGTGGCAATGCTTTAATGAATACCCAATTAAAACCTAAAGCTATGCTACCACAAGCTCAGATCTTATCAGCCTCTCCTGAAAGCTGAGCTGGGTCAGGCTCTGTGGGTTCTCAAACAGGAGATTTCAACTGATGTGCTGTGGGTAATTCAATAGGTGCTCTGCTCGGAGCAGCGTTCAGCCAAGGCTGCATTAAGATATTAAATCCACAGCAATGTGAGAGGTGCAGGCTCTGCCCACTGTCCTTCAGCTGAGATACAAAATCAGGATCTGAAGCTGGAACAGACCTGGAATGACCCATCTGACCCAGCTGAGCTTCATCCATTGCAGAACCTGCATTCAGTCTGAAGAAAAATACAATTTAATCAGGGTAATGAGTTCATCCTCAGGGCTGACCCTTCCCAAGCTCTGCCCTTTGCCTCCAGCAGGAAGAAATCTCCAGGGAATAGCAGATCAATGGGAACACCGATGATAACAAATGATCAGACCCATACAGTCCTTCCTTTCCTGCAGTGCTGCCCATTTCTGAGCTGAGTTCAGCTCTCCTGCTGAACTGTTGGTGCTACCAAGGCTCAGCCTTGGGGGTGTTGGTGGGCTCTCATCCCAGACACGCAGCTTTTTGCTGCCCACTTGCCTCACTTGAGCTTTTTATGCTCCTGTGCAAAAGCAGCAGCAGACAATGAACTCTCTCGTTTGCATGCAAAGTGAAAACTGGTGAAAATACAAACCTCTCAGCAAATCCCAGTGTGGGCAAAACCCCATCCATCATTGGTAGCAAGATGAACAAGCCAAGCTGCCTATTAAAACTGCAAGGTAACATTCCCTTTTCATTTTCCTTTCCCTCTTCTTTCATTTTCCCTATTTGCAGTTCAAGCAGAAATGGCTCAGACTCTGGGTGAAATTTGACAAGCAAATGCTAAAATACACCCAAGGAGAAGATTCAAATTAATGATTTCTATATCACGCTGTCCTGGCCACATCATTAAACACAAGGTCTTTAAACTGTGATGGTTCTGATGAGTCTAAAAATCTGAACAATCAGAAAACTGAGACCAAACCCTGCCATCACCTGCACCACTGGGACAGTGGGAGCTGGCCTTCAGCAATGTCCCACGTTCCACGTGATGGATGGTGTGACCTGGATGCACACGTTGCACTCACCATGCCCAAAGCTTTACCATCAAACCCAAAGAAAGCTGAATGGCACCAAATGCTTCTGTCTGGGTTTGTTGTTGAAAGACATCTTATGAATAGGAAAAAATAGTGTGTGGTCCTTTAAGCAGCCTGCAGACACTGAACTGTTTAATCCTCTCTCTCCAGCAGCTTTTATCCTGGCCTCCCCCAGGCACGTCTGCAGCGCGGTCCACCATGAGACACTCTCTGTTCACTCTGCACTGCCCATTCCCAAGGTCTCACTGTGTCCCCACAAGCTCTGATAGTGATTTCCTTCATGCTCTACCCAAACTGAGAATGAGTCTGATGGAGTTGCCACCTGTCTTCTCCATTCAGCCCAGCGTAGGGAGTACTGAGCAAGAAAGCCTGGGAGAAGTGAACTGAAACCAAATGGTAAATTTCCCTTCTGGGCAATGGTTTGGCTTTAAATTAAAAGAGGGGGGGACTTAGGTTGGACGCTGGGGGGGAATTTTCACTCAGAGGGTGGTGCCCAAGGGCATGGATGGGCCCTGGGCAGCCTGAGCTGGTGAGGCAGCCAGCCCATGGCAGGGGTTGGGGCTGGATGGGCTTTAAGGTCCTTTCTAATACAAACCAGTCAGTGATTGTATGATTCTGAGCATTCCTGAGACCCAAAGGAGGCAGGCTCAGCTTGCATCACAGGCACATTCCCCAACCCAAAGGAATTACACTCTGTGCAGATGAGACATAGCCTGGTTCCACGCAACATTTTCATCTTCATTTTCCAGCCTTGGACTGCGAGGAACCATGCAGTTCACTCAGAAACCTGTAACAGAGGCAGTAACTGTAAAGAAGCTGCCAAGTCTCGAGTCAGGGCTTAATTACAGGATGAGCCTTCCTCACTCTGGTGCTCATCATACCACAGGAGAAGATGAGACAGCGAGATTAATCCCTCTTCTTATCCTTCCATACTAATGCCCAAATCTCTTTGACCCCTGCAGGGAACTCCCTGAGTTTTCAACTGATGCAAAAGGAAGAAAGAAGGGGGCCCAGCACTCTGGCTAAATGTGATTTCTGATTGGAATGTGATTATTTCTACAACTAGATATTTCTACAACTTTGCTTCAAATAGCTTTTTCTTTGAAGCATAACTTTAATCAATGGATCTTTGCAAAACCAACAGGACAGTCCTGTGGAATCTGCCTTTTTCAGCAGAAACAGTTTAGAAGAAGATTTACGGGAGCACCCCTGTGGTGGGATGCCCAATAGCACGGGCTGAGAGCTCACTGTCAGTCCAAGGGACACCCAGACAACCTCTTCTGAAGCCAGTCCTGATGATAGCAAAACATTAAGGAGCGTCACTGCAGAAAGCTCAGTGAAATAAAGGAGATAGAGAGGAAACTTTTATTTCTGGAGAGGTTTAGAGATCCTCTCTGTAAGACATTACTGAGGCCAAAGCCTGATTCAAATTCAAAATAGGATTAAGTATTTGAATGACTGGTCAGCCAGCCACGTGCTGTTTTGGGAAAGAGCAGAAATCGTAGTGGTATAGAAACTACTCAGTGCCTGGGGAGAACAGAAATTCTGCCACAAAAGCACTGTCGTGTGCTTGACTGTTATGGGCAATTTCACCCTGACATGAGGGCGACCTCAGTGATAAGACTTGTCTGGAGGGTACCTCGGCCTCATCCAGCTTTTTGTACACATGACAGATGCATTTAATCAAATTGAAGAGTACCACTGGAGAGGCAGCTTTAGAAATTCATCTTCCTACAAGATTGGAAGTAACAGAGCTCATGAGAACAGAGGGAGGATTAATGAGAGAGAGCTGAAGCAAGCCTCAGGCACAGCACTTGCTCCCCTTACTGCTTGGAGTGGTGGCAGGTTGTCTGGGGGGCTGAAGGTGACACCACTGGTGAAGAGAGGAAGGAGCCTGGTAAGAAACCAGGAGAACTATGGCAGTCATCTATAAGGCCACGGAAATGGGGCTAGGAAGGGATTCAAAGACGACGGTGGTCCGCTGCTCTGCACAAAGCCGGGACCTTGCACATCCCAGCAGGGCTCCTCTGCACGGTGGTGCTGCTCACAGGTCCCCAGAAGGTCAGCTCCAGTGATGCGGTTTTTGTTGGGTCACTCACAGGCACTGATTTCTCAAACAGAACTGGGGCTGAAGGATCTCTTTCAGTTGTTACCAGCAGACATTTGTTTCCGTGGTTAGAGAATGAATAACTCCAGGGCACACCATGCAGCTGGGAATGGGTCACGTTAGGGGTTTCAGCATGACGCTGTAATGGAGACTGAAATATGATCCTCCCCAAACATCCCTGGAGACGAAACCCTTTTGAGTTTGCTTGTGAGATGGTAATGCAGATAGATACAGAAGGGAGCTATTCTGGAGGGAAGCAAACAACGAGAATCTAGAATTAAAAACGTGATGGGAAAACGAGAATAATCCTGACCATGAAGCACAGCTATTCTCAAAAGCATCTAGGGATATAAAACACAAAATACATCCTGCACCTGCTATCTAACTCCTCCCAGATAGGCTGGGCAACACGGCGTGCTGCAATACATGAAGCATTTCATTTAAGTCTTAATTCTGCCTGTTCCGGGATTACAGTATTAGCACCCAAATCTCACTGCGCGGCTCAGGCAGAAAGCAGAGGGGGAGCGTCCCCCTCCCTCTGGCTGCGGGGTGACGAAACCCATTCTCGGAGGAGGCCGCTGGGGGCGGGCGGGCTGCAGCCATCGGGACACCTGAGCGGGCAGATGGATGGGGACGGCGGGATGGCAGCCGGCGCTGGTGGCCGTGCTGTGGCCGGCAGGATGCCCAGCAGTGCACGGCGCGGTGCTATTGCCGCTCCGGTCACATGCGGCAGGCGGAGAGAGGGGGAGCACTAAATAATTGAGGAGCTGCAGCGCCCTCCTCCATCCCTCCCTCCTCCATCCCTCCCTCCTCCCTCCGCCTTGCGTGTGCGGCCGGGAGCCGGGGCCGCCTGTGCCCAGCGCAGCCCCCCCCCGCCGCCTGCAGCACCGCAGCCGACCCCGCCGGGCTGCTCGCCCGCGGAGGCCCCGCAGCAGAGCCCGCCCGCTGCCCTCTGAGCCCGGTGAGTGCCCGAACGGCTCCGAGGGGGTGCAGAGGGGATGAAGCGTTCTGGGGTGTGGGGAAAGCGCCGCCCCGCTCTGCCACCTCACCGTCCGGGGAGAGTGGCTCGGAGCATCCCAGGGTGCGGGGGGAGGTGAGAGAACCGCGGCTCCAAGAGTGGGGAGCTCTGCCCCGGCCCCATTGCGATCACCCACGTCCGTCGCCCCGTGCCGGTGGTGCGGGGGCTCCTCCGGAACCGCTGGAACAGACCCGCTTGGGGCAGAGACCCCAGAGCCGCCCCATCCCGCAGCCCCGGGCGGCCGCAGCCCCGTGTTGACAAAGTGGCACTCGCTGGAAGGGAGGGGGGGGACGTCAGGGCTGACGGCACGGGATTGATCGGAAACAGAGAACGGCGGAGAGAAGGGATAAATGCCGGCTGGTCCAAGCGAAAAGACAGCTCTGGCTACAAGTTACCGCACCAAACGAGAGAGACGAAGGTAGAGGCACTGCGGGCAGGCGGGCAGCGTGCATGAAAAGGAAAAACCCGATATCAATAATCCGACGGAGCGGCGCGGAGCCCCGGGGCCGGGTGGGCGCTGTCCGCGGTGCTGAACCCCGACGGGGCGGCCCGAAGCTCCCGCTCATCCGCGGCCTCTCCTGGCGGCGGCGCGGGCAGAATTCCCTCCGACTTAGAGGCTGGTAATGGAGTTATCTTCCTTTTTACGTCACCCCCGGCTCGCTGCTGTTTATT